GTGATTGATGCTTAAATACACTGTGTGTGTGTGTGTGTGTGTGTGTGTGTGTGTGTGTGTGTGTGTCGGTGCATGTGTAGGAATTCTGTCTGATACAATAAACTGATAATTATTATTAATTACAGTAAATATGATAATTATTTTCACATAATGGCCAATAACTGATAAATGGTAATTATTGAAATTCTATGTTTGTATAATTAAAAAAATAAGTGAATTTTGTGAATAAGTGCTTTTTTTACGTTTATAAATATTAGTCCCTTATGCTCACAAAGACTGCATTTATTTGATCAAAAATACAGTAAAAACAATACTATTATGAAATATTAGTGCAATTAAAAATAACTTTTTTTATTTAAATATATTTTAAATATGTAGCCTAATTTATTTCTGTGATGGCAAAGCTTATTTTTCAGCAGCCATTACTCCAGTCTTTGCTGCTCAAGAAAATAAATATTATTATTATCAATGTCTTTACTCTTGCTTTTGATCAAATGAATGTGTCTTTGGTAAATAAAAGTATTAATTTCTTTAAAAAAAATAAAAAAAAACTGACCCCAAACTTTTGAACAATAGTGTATTTTTTTTTGTAAACAATTTGCTATAGAATACATTTAACAGTTTTTATTAAAATATTATTAGTTGTCATATATCATATAATATAATATCAATGATAACGATTAATTTATAAATCCCCGACAGTGGCCAGAAAACAACATGATGTATATATTGTGCATATATATTGTGTGAGCCAATGAGATTTCACAGTAGGAGGGGCTACTGAACATGACTTTGAAGAAATGTAGCAGTACTTAGATTGTACATACAGAATAGCAATTTATCGAAAGTAGCATATGTATTGAAACAACAGCATCATTGTATTAGTTGCTGTGTTGTTGTTCTCAGTATTGCTTTTCCCATGCTCTGTCCTTCCCCTCTTGTTCCTCTGTTCTTTGCTGTCCCTCACCCATCAGCTTGTGCCTCATGTTTTGAGAAATTGCCTCAGTGATGTTTTCTGACAGTGACGTTAATCGAAGCACCAAACGCATAGTAGCACTCCAATTGAAAAGAAATTTGCCCACTGCCTTCTACACAAAGCCAAACAACCTGTGACCGCTTTCACGCATGCATATATGAAAGTCCTTGCGCACATGTGTGGTGCCAGAAATGTAAACATAAGTTCACACTGGTGCAGCTCGAAGGGCAAAGTTTTGACATTTGAAACGCATGAAAAAAAAAGTCGGAAAATACCAAGTCAGATGTCTGAAATGATTTCCCGATGCCTCATGCAGTTGTTTTCCATAGTGATTTTGACTGTGCAGTGGCAATCGTTTATATAATACAGTGACAGGAAAAAGATGGATTTAACATGCATTTCTACATGAATTGCTCATGAAATTTGATCTTGCTTACATCAATAGACAAACATAATCTGCCTAAACAAATCACATTTATTTACATGCTTTTTCCACTCCACTGTGAATTTTTGAACATTGTGTTCAATTAAGACAAAATGTATTATTGTTTGTCTGATTCATTAAAGCAGTCTGTTGAAGGTCAGATCTAATTTAATGGCTAATTTCCACAGAAATCCATGATAAAGGGTTCACATTCTTTTTCCTGCAACTATAATTCATCAACTAACCATCTAACTTCAAATATTACTCCTACATCTTTAGTTTCGCTATAATGCAAGATATAGTTTGCACAAAGCTCCACATTAATCTCCTGCATTATGAATCTTGGCTGGCCAACAATTAAGGAATGTGAGGCTTCCAAAACAAAAGGAAGAAGGGAGAGAAAGAGAAAGTGTGTGTCTGTGTATGTGTGTGTGTGTGTGTGTGAGAGAGAGAGAGAGAGAGAGAGAGAGAATTATGATTCCTCCCGTCGTGCTCTGACCTGTTTGCTCATTCATAAGGCGTCACTTGTCGAGGTCCATAGAGGAACCAGCAGGATGTGTAGCAATTAAATGTGCTGCATGTTGTTGGAATAGCAATGCGCTCTGCCGTTGACGTGTGTAATCTCAAACCTCTGCCGTCTTTGTGCCACCTGCATCAAAGCCTCAGAGGAACTTTTCATTAATCTTTCTGTTTTTTTTATTTTTAATCACTGTCATCGCCCCCTTTCCTGTTGCTGTAGCTGCATCTATATTATTACTAAAGGATTACAGCAACTTATATATTTGCATACGGTAAGTCAAGAGTAATGATGGGCCTAATCAGTTCCTTTACTGCAGATGCTGATACTTCTGGTTAGATTTAAACTGTCGGATCTAATTGACACTTAAACTAAACCTCTATCATGGTGCTTTGACAAAAAAAAAAAAAAAAAATCACCCACTGACTTTCAATGCTGCTACATAGTAACGACTTTCTACTTTGAGGACCTTGATAGAAATGTAGTGGAGTGAAAAGTACGATA